AGGACAGACCACCTCAGCAACGGGTGGAAGGACAGCCTACGACATGCACAGCAGGAAGATCCAGACATCAAGCCGATTCTGGGATGGATGAAGGCCCGTGCTACCAAGCCTAAGTGGAGGAACGTCTCAGCGATTAGTTCAACCAAGAAAAGCTATTGGGCCCAATGGGGCAGCTTGCTGATTCAGGATGGAGTCCTGTGCCGTAAATGGGACAATGGTCGAAGAGACAGCTGTCGTTTGTAAATGGTTGTCCCTAAAGCTAAAGTGCCGGATGTTCTACAGCTGTACCATATTGATTGTTCAGGAGGCCATCTGGGAGTTAAACGAACTCTACTGAAGATCAGAGAACGGTTTTACTGGGTCCACTGTCGAAACGATGTCGAGGACTGGTGTCGCAAATGTACAAGTTGTGCGGCTGTAAAGGGACCTCAGACTCGTAGTAGAGGTGCATTGAAGTTGTACAATGTTGGTGCACCATGGGAGAGAATAGCCATTGACGTGGCGGGACCGTTTCCGGAGAGTGAAAGCGGTAACAAGTATTTCATGGTTGTGATGGATTACTTCACTAAGTGGCCAGAAGTCTTCGCCATTCCAAATCAAGAAGCTTCAACAGTTGCTGATAAGCTAGTTCATGAAGTCTTCTGTCGTTTTGGTGTACCTTTAGAGATTCACAGCGATCAAGGAAGGAATTTCGAGTCTCAAATATTCCAGGAAACTTGCCGAGTTATGGGTACTCATAAAACACGAACGACTTCTTATCACCCGCAATCTGATGGAATGGTAGAACGATTTAATCAGACATTGGAGAGGTACCTAGCAAAAGTAGACAATCGGCAACGAGATTGGGACAAGCACATACAACCGTTTTTGTTGTCATATCGAAGTTCTGTTCACGAAAGTACACCAGCTTTCGCAAACTTTGGAAGAGAATTACGACTGCCTGCAGACCTGATCACCGGGATACCACCTGATGCCCCACGCAGTATAACCGATTATGCAAATGACTTGCGGAACAAAATGAACGACATTTATGAGCACGTCAGACAATCGGGCTAGCAAATGCCTGAGAAAATGAAAACCCGGTACGACCGCAAAATGAACAATAAAGGGTTCAACGAAGGTTCATTAGTGTGGTTGCACAATCCAGTCCGCAGCAAAGGGAAATCTCCTAAGCTTCAAGCTAAATGGGACGGATTGTAACCAGGATCAACGATGTGACCTACCGGATACAGAAAGGCGCAAGAGGGACTCCTAAGATCGTCCATGTGGATCGCTTGGCGCGTTATTATGGGACCGATAATGCTCGGGACGAGCATGTCTTAGGAGGGGGCAGTGTTGCGTGAATAAGTCAACTAGCGCCATCTAGTGTCAGGAACGAGAGCGAGGGGAGCTTTGCAGAAAATGACATCACAAATCCGACCGACAGCGCCATTCGAAGAACTAAGTTTCTAGAAAATCTACACTCGCACACTCGTCCCTTTGCGCGCATTTACTTGAATATTCCGGATGCTTCTTTGCTAATTTATATAAATAGGCGCTGCAAGATGCGATCGAGGCAGTGTTGATTTGGCGAGAAAATTGAAGCTTCGGAGCGGAATAAAGTGAATTAGTGTGTTTAATTATTAGTGTTTTTAACTTTAATTTGTGTAAAGTAAATTAAAGTGTTAATTTAGGTAATTTTATCGGCAATTTTTATTGTCACGAACCTCAAGCTCGTAACAATATGTTATTAAATGCGCTAACTTTTTCGTCTACCGTGGGAGCGGCTATCACTGTGTCCCAGTTAATTCTTACGTTGTTAAAACTTCTCTACATCCATACGGCCAAAACAACGCATGTGGAGGATTTTAGGTGAGGGTTTGGGAGGTTTCAGGATATAGGAAAGGAAAATGAGATTATGATGGGAGTAACCAGACGCATAATGTTGACCATGAGAAGAGACAAGGGTGGGGTTCGAGGTGAGCATTAAATCGAGCCACGTGTCCTCCCCGTCCGCATTGTGGTGAGTGGCTTGTAGAGGTAGAACATGAAGGCCTACCGACTCGATTATTTAAAGGAACTTATAGGAACGGGATGAGTGCGAAGCCAGGAGATTTGTATTAAAATCACCCATGATGATATGATGTGAGTATTCTGACCCTAAAGATTCCAACCGAGGGGGGACAATATACAACACTAGAACGGTTTTAGCTCCCTTCACATATACTTAAAGAAAAAGAAATTCAGCAGATGCGGAGTAAAAGGGCGAGGAGGAAGCTAGAAGTTTATAAGATAAGTCACTGCGGAGTTATAAAGCAACAACACCCCCTCTTATCAAACCCGATCGTCACGTATCAAAGTGAAACCAGAGTAAGTGGTTGACAGAAGATGGGGCTTCAACCAGCTCTCCGAAATCAGGATGGCATGAACGTTCACGTTAGTAAAGGCTTCAATGAGATCACTGTAGTGGCTGGGTACACTTTGTGCATTGATATGACACACATTTAGCGAAGAGCTATACTGGTCAAATGTATGACGTAGAAAATCACCCATCGTATCAGTTATGGAACAAAAACTATCGTCAATAGATGTAGCAGTTTCGTTGTTGCCAGAAAAAAAGAATCATCATCAGCGTTCATAAAAATAAATATAGATTTATATATATATATATATATATATATATATATATATATATATATATTATAGTATATGATATAAAATATATAAAAGTAATTAAATTATTATTAAAACGTACCTAACATAGGTTGTAAACCAAGGCATACTGTCATCTCTGCAGCACCAGTCAGCTAACATATGCACCTTAAATTACTAATTTATCAAATAATAAGCAAAATGAATTAAAAAGATAATGTAAAACACGAAACGTATGTACGTTTAACACATAAGTATCGAATTGAGTATTACAACAGAAATAAATGAAAAAAAAACACAGACAAAATTATTTCATAGAGTTAATCGGTGCACAACGGGTATAGACTATAAACTGTAACACTACGTGACAGGTTACTGAAATTCTAAATATTACCCTTAAGTTGTCAAACGTCAAATTGGCATTACACTAAAATAGAAATGACAACTGACAATTATTCATACACCATACAAAAGCATGTTTACATTATAGTTCGAGAGAATAAATAGCGAATATTATCTTAGTAATTATAAATACGATATCCATGTTACAAGAACAAGGAAGGAGGATTTAATATTATTATGTTGTTATGTAAAGTTGTATACATTTTACCTAAAAAAAAATTAAAATAATTGAGAAATTTTGTATTAAGGTAATGAAAAGTTAACACACAAAACTACAAACTTCAATTGTCGTCACTTACGAAGTTTTGAAAGAGAGTTCGTTGATCCCACAACTGCGGTCTTGCCCTCTGATTTGGGGTATTTCTGCTTTAAGGAGTTCAGCTCGTCTAGGGAAGTGATCTTATGCCGAGATCCAAAATTTATCAACAAAATTATTACAAATACTAAAAATTTATCAAAGATAAGTTGGGGAGAATGAAAATAATTTGTAATTTGTCAATAGCTACCAATTTCGTTTTTCCTCATAAATTATACCAGTACCTGGAAATAACCTCTCACTGTATACACTGCTACCGGGCAATAAAAGATATTTTTTTGCGAATTTTATAATTTTTGGGTACTGATGTATGTTTACTGACCATAACTTTTAAGGGTCTGCTGTCCGATCTAGGCGAGCCGTTATTACATAAAAATCAATATCATTAGCAACAGCACTTATAGACATCTTCATCTTCATATTTTCTGTACCGACTTACTCAAAACGATTCCAGAAACTGTTGCTGGCGCAGTACACAGCAATCCCAAAAGGCCTTACTGTACGTCACTGTATACACTGCTACCGGGCAATGATAGATATTTTTTTGCGAATTCTATCATTTTTGGATACTGCTGTACGTTTTTTGTGTTAGTATTATTAGCTTACGGCCTTATTCATAACTATTGATTATTATCGTTTAATTAATTATACGTTATACCTGTCTCTTTCTTTTTTATTTATTGAAAGAGAGAAAGAGCAACTCAGAGCATTTCTTAAATTGAGATGTAACGTTATAAGTAAGGGTGTGTTAACCTAGAAGACTAAAACTCAACATTATCGAAATCTGTGTAAACGGTATGACTAGATTCAAATCTTGACATTGTAGAGTTTGAGTACAAACTCGAGATAGTCTCCGAATACAGGCTTAAAATCCCCAAGTAAGAGTATGTGGTTATTTCTGGTGATGAGTTATATATAAGTTATTCCATCCACCCTAAAGAATCCACCCTAGGGTCGATACTCGGAAACGCATATTGATAATAGGAGTTCGTATATTATGTTATTTTCCTTCCGTTTTTATTCCTCCGCTGTTTAGAGTCATTTATAGAAACATGATAAAATACTTAGTAGACATTACCTTTAAAAATATATACAATACTACTTGTTTGAAAGGTCGACGTTGAAATAAAAAAAGTACCTCAGAGAATTACAGATTCATTGAAATCTTGGCATAAAACAATTTAAAATGAAGTTGTAGACAAACTTTCAATCGTACCGTTTTTTTGGAATGCTTGCAAAAACGCGAAATTCCTCGCGAACTCATCTGTGGTAGCAAACAAATTTAAAAAAATATATTTCAAATGTGTATTAAAAGTGACGAATTTATCCCGGATATGAAATTAAGTCTACTCAATAATGAAATTAGTGTTGGTGCGCCTGAAAATACTGCAGAATTTATAAATTACACGATACAATTATTTAAAACTAGGAAGTTTATTTTGATTTAAATGCAACACGTAATGCTTGGACTTTAATAGGCTGTAACTGAAATTAATTAATAATTAGTGTATGTTTTGAACTTACTTGGAGTAAAAAGTCGGAAGAACGAAAGTGAATTCCGATTATCCACCCCGTCTGGGGTGGTCATATAAACACGCGTTTCCGAGTCTCCCTAGAGTGAACAAACAGCACAACTCGTCTGATGTTCCAGACGTGGTGTACACGGTGTCGAGCATGCAGCTGTGCGCGGGCAGCCGCGTGCGCTACGTGTGGCTGGGCGTGCGGCTGGAGGACGCACCGCGCCACACCACGCTCGCCTCCAGCCTCGCCTCCACTGCCGACAACTCGCTCGTGCTGGTGCGTACACTCTCTTGTACATAGAGCTTGCAGCTGTGCGCGGGCAGCCGCGTGCGCTGCGTGTGGCTGGGCGTGCGGTTGGAGGACGCTCCGCGCCACACCACGCTCGCCTCCACTGCCGACAACTCGCTCGTGCTGGTGCGTACACTCTTGTGCATAGAACATGCAGCTGTGCGCGGGCAGCCGCGTGCGCTACGTGTGGCTGGGCGTGCGGTTGGAGGACGCGCCGCGCCACACCACGGTAGCCTCCAGCCTCGCCTCCACTGCCGACAACTCGCTCGTGCTGGTGCGTACACTCTCTTGTGCATAGAACATGCAGCTGTGCGCAGGCAGCCGCGTGCGCTACGTGTGGCTGGGCGTGCGGCTGGAGGACGCTCTGCGCCACACCACGCTCGCCTCCAGCCTCACCTCCACTGCCGACAACTCGCTCGTGCTGGTGCGTACACTCTCTTGTGCATAGAACATGCAGCTGTCCGCGGGCAGCCGCGTGCGCTACGTGTGGCTGGGCGTGCGGTTGGAGGACGCGCCGCGCCACACCACGGTAGCCTCCAGCCTCGCCTCCACTGCCGACAACTCGCTCGTGCTGGTGCGTACACTCTCTTGTACATAGAACATGCAGCTGTGCGCAGGCAGCCGCGTGCGCTACGTGTGGCTGGGCGTGCGGCTGGAGGACGCTCTGCGCCACACCACGCTCGCCTCCAGCCTCACCTCCACTGCCGACAACTCGCTCGTGCTGGTGCGTACACTCTCTTGTGCATAGAACATGCAGCTGTGCGCGGGCAGCCGCGTGCGCTACGTGTGGCTGGGCGTGCGGTTGTAGGACGCTCCGCGCCACACCACGCTCTTCTCCAGCCTCACCACCACCGCCGACAACTCGTTCGTGCTGGTGCGTACACTCTCTTGTACATACCCCGTGTAATGTTCCAGAAGCCACCTGCTCCGCCTTCGTCTGGTTAGGATCTGTTAATATGGCGTTATTTAGATTTAGGACTATTATAAAACACCATTTACTTCATCAATGTTTCGATGTAAAAGAAAATAACTAAGTTTTTTGGATAAAATATAGCGTATATCACTCCTGGTATTGCTCTATATCTGTTTGTGAAGTTTCATTATAGTCTATTCAACCATTTAGAAGACCGACAACTTTGTTAGATATGGTTATTTATAATAATTTCTTAAATTTATTCAATGGTTATTTGTTTTAATATGATACAAATAATATCCTCAGTTCAGTAAAAGGCAGTAATTTCAATATTACGTATAGACATTTATTTCTGCGTAATACAACTTCATAATCAGGATATCCGCCGTAGAACCCTAGTATACTAATGGATCTCTAAGCTGAAGTGGCAATTTACCGGCCATATAGCTCGAAGAAGCGTCAACCAATGGGGAAGAAAAGTCTGGGACGACAGCCTCGTACCGGCAAACGAAGATCCCTCAGATGGAACGACTTGGAAAAAGATGCACAAAGTAGATGGATGCAAATGGCTCAGGAAGGGCCTCCCCCAATATAATACCACAAGGTATTATATTATACCTATGTTCAGCAGTGGACTTGTGATGGGCTGAAATTATGATATTGTAAGAGCTGTGGAATTAGTGAATCAGATAAAAAATGTTTAAGTATTCAAATTGTACAATTTTTCGGAGCTCGTTAATTACCGACAAAAGCGGGTTTTTAAAATTAAGATAGCGAAAATCGATTCCTGTGGGACACAGGTTTTTTTAATAATTAATAAAGACGGATATGTGCGTATGTGTGTAATGTGCATGCGTTAATGCATTCGTATATGTTACGAGCGAGCGCACACGCACGTGTGGTGTGAATATGTGTGTAAAAACACAAAAACACAACTTATATTTTTTGGCACTCCGACAAGTCAGTACTATTTTTGCATTTTTGTTAGGTATAACTCATATAGTCATGGCGCCATTAGCTTAAAAATGTGTATGTTTGCATGTGTGTCTGCTGTTTCTTTTTTGGGTGTAGCCTAAACATATTGACGGATTTTTTTAATGTAAGGCCACCCGAGGCAAGTGTGACAGTGGGGCAAGTGTAACAAATGCAAATTTTGAGGCCTAAGCACGGTTTTTGGTTAAATTCCATCTATTAAACAATGCAGGAAATTTTACGCTATTGACTATACTGACAGATAAGTATGTAGCTTCAACTATTTTATCAAGAGACATTATTTTTTTAAACTGGCTACAGACCGCGCATTTTTAAGAGGTGAAGTTATTAAGTGTTTCGATATGTCATTAAGTTATTTTAAACTAGGTACAATGTGAGTGATATAGCATAATATTGGTACTTATAGAGGAATATGTTTCTGTGACCTGAAATCCACTATTCCTTGTAATACGGCACTATTCCTTGTAATACGGATAGTTATACATACCTCACCTAATACCAACGACTACACAGCCCGAATAGACGCCTCACGCAAAGCGAACACTTTTTCAACACGTTAGACAAATATGTCTTACATAAGAAAACGATCGCGCAATCTACTTTAGTAGTGACCACATCCCTGACCCGTGAACATCTTGCATGTGACTCGTGAATTTTCGACAAAATAAAATACAACAGACGCGCAACATGGCTTCCTGTACAATAAAATAGCGCGGAAATAGTAGCCAAATGTGTAATTTCAAAAAAAGGCATCACTTTTCATAGTTAAATAAATTTTAATTTCCAAATTCATGAATTAAAATTAAATCAGAGCTCAACCTTTATTTGTCACAAAGCAACTCGCGTTGATTTATTTGGACATCTTCGGATATTTTCGGACTATGCATCCTTTTCTTTTCAATGCAGTTCATTGTTGCTATACTATTCTTTAATTACCGACACGTGTAACTAGTGTTGTACCAGTTGAACTATAATATTAGTACAAGTAAATATTTTTTTTAAATTTATTTAAGGCAACAAACAGTCATGTAAGAAGATAGTAACGTGGATAAACTAAAGACCTATAGTGCCTTTAACAGAACTTCTACAATATTTTAAACTTATTGAGCCACTTTTAGGACTAAAGGACATTATAAATTTATTTATTTATTAATACACTAAGTTCTAAGATGAGGTAACTAGTTAACATTTGGTATGCAATTAAGGAAAAAGTATTACTATGCATGTTATCGTGAATGTTTTACTGACTTATATAAACGACGTAGGTGTAAGCTGATTTTTTTTAAATAATGGTCGTTAATCAATATTTAAATTAATTATTGTTTTAATAATTAAATCAATTTATTCAAAAATTTAAAAAAAATCATAATAAAATTGATATAATTTTTAAGAGACGGCACTCCACTCTCTTTACTGCTAAGACGGCATGTCAAGACAAGCAAGAATCGGAAGTCAACTTGACAGTTTAAATAACTGTTGCTATTTTATTTTAATAGTATTCTATTATTATTTCAATATTGTAAATAAAGCTTGTTTTAATAAAAATTATCTTTAAAACAGAAAATTATAGGTATTTTACTAATTTTTATTTTTATTTTTTAATTTTTTATTTTGTACTAATTTATAGTAGATTATGGCTCTGGTACTGATCAAGTAGACTTGGTACTAAATTTATCAGTTGAAGTTCCCATCACTATTTTTCTATTAGCAAGTGTTGCAACCTTGATTTTAACCAATTAGCATGCATTTCAACCACAGATTACCTCTTAATAGATTCCGCATACAGGGCCAAAAACGCGCGCAACACATGCTTGCTGTAGCTAGCATATGAAGTGACGCTAAGAATCACGATATCATTGTCGACCAAGTATTGTGACCCGTAGGCACGAGTTTTTGAAAATTTAAAAATAATTTGGTATCCAAAATACATTACAAATGGCTTCCTATGCAGTGAAATGGTGTGGCAAGTCAGCTAAGACATCCAATTATCAAAAAGGTACGTAAGTAAATTTTATTCTTATCACGTTAACCTATTTTGGTATGTCTTTCCTTTCACTCATTACGTAAATTAAAATAGTTGTCTTTGTCTAACGACAGCACGTGTATCGATAGTGTTGTGATTTATAAGTCGATATTTGTTTGGTCATTGTTTACTTTTTTTTTGTAGTCATTATTTTATACAACTAGTGGCGTATAATTGTGGTAGCAATATGTTATAGGTTTCCTAAATGCCCCGAAAGGAAAAGATGTGGATCGACGCTACATGTCGAGGGGACCAATGGTTTCCCACCAAAAATAGTTGTGCTATGCTCAAGACACTTCACAGAAGACAATCTTCATATTATGAAAAACCGTAGAAGGCTGTTGGATTCCGCTATATCATCTCTATACTTGCCAGTTTTAGTATGAACTTCTACATTTTTAAAAAAGTATAATACCAATGGTGATTACACAATAAGTAGTAGCATTAAGTGGTTGATTGAAACATGATATTCTAATACTGAGGCGAATGTTACACGTCGAAATTAAACTATTTTTAACGGATTTACAAACCATAAAACAAGTGAAAGTTATAATGTGATTAATGTAACCAAGCATACCACTGCAAGACTTCAAGATACTGTAAGCTCGTTCTATGTAGATCGGGACCAAAAATCAATATTCAAAAACTGAAGATAGCCGGGCTAACAATGATATTGAGATGTCAAAATAAACTTCAAATAAAAATTGATCAATTCACTTATGAATAATCTATAAATCCCAAATTTAGCGATCAACGTCCCAACCCTGTCCCATCACTATGGTTCTGAGCATCCCCCGTACCGCTTACTTCAGACTTTTGACAGACAAGTTTGGATGCAGAAGTACATACATTAGGCGTTTATTCGGGCTGTGTTGTCAACAACAACGAAGATGACGTTGTTTAACAAAAAAAAAACGACATTTGTTCATTAGTTTTTATTCATCTAAATAGCATATATAATACAAGTACCAAAGCATTATGATTATATCATTATAAATTGTTAACGTTTCTGAATGAAATTTTATTTTGCACTTAGCATTTTTTATTATGATTACGAAACATCCAGAGCTAGTGTAGTATCTATTTAAAGGCACATCACTATATCGGTTAAAAACCCACTTGCCCCATGTTGGGAAAAGTTCATTATACACAAAAATAGATGTTCAAATTGTTTTTATAGATCATAAAATATATGGACGGTAGTATCATCTCATCAATTTTGTCGAAAATCACGGATAATAATAAAGTAATTACAAAAAGAAGCGTACTGTCACACTTATCCATCAATGGGGCAATGAAAAAAAAAATGCTACTTGTAGATACTAAAATGCTTGATCAAACAAACAACCACTTAATAATTGATGTTATGAAACTGTATTCTTTATGTTAAATCCTTACAAAGTAGAAGTATTTAAATGTTGATTATAGTTTTAATTAATTTATGTCACACTTACCCCAGGTGACCATATAGTATTCGTGTAATTATAAGAAATCATGAAAAACCTTTACCCCGTAACAATAGAAAATTTTCCTTTATATTGGGGAAGTTTAACAAAAATAATTTGCATATGGATAAACATCCAAAACTAAAATGGAATCCGCACCCGTTGCGCTGTCAATACAGTCTAAAAAAGATAGTTATTGAAAATATTTATTTCCGTTATTATTTCAAGGTCATTATTGTTATTTTAGTATTATAGTCTAATTGACATGTGGTCATGTAATTTTTTCCACAAAATCTTGGAACTACTTTAATATAACATATATTAACGACAATATTACAGGGCAATAAATCGGCTGGCAGTAGACCACAGTCTATGTCCCTAATGAGCCAATGTGGTGACGAACAAGTGGCTGGTGAATACAGCAAACATTACGTCACACTAAAACAAATAGGTAAGTATAGGTTTAATACAAAAATAATAAAGTACTCTTCCATCTGTAGTGCGTCTCGCCACTACAGATAGAAGAGTACATTATTATATAATACGAGGGCATAAGATCTATGTGAAGACATTTATGTGTGTCTCGCCACATAAACGTCTTCACATAGATCTTATACCCTCGTATATTTGACATAATACATGTTATCTCAGATTTATCAAACCTCAAATATCATTATGTCATGTGGTGGCGATAGAAGATAATCTATCAGCTCATTTCGTATCGTAAGAGGAGACTTTGATAAATGCCAGGAAAATGTCATGGTTTTCTATAAGTAGCGGAATAACGATCTCGTTTCCATTATACGCAAACTATCCAGACCGGCGATGGGAGCAGAGCCAAGTCTTGGCAGACTTGACTCAGTTTGCTTCGTAGAGGCGTAACGATTAAGGCAAATAGCCCTGGCAAAATGGCCCATGTATAAGAATGGTTTTACATTTTACAGACTGATAAAGCGGAAAATATAAACGCGATATTTTGCTAGAGGTAGAGAAATGTCCAACAATGGACTGCACCAAATACTTTCTTTACCAGCACAAGCGTTACTGTTATTATAGACATTACTTATGTTTATTTTTATCCAACAGTTCAAAATCCAACTTAATACTGAAAATCATTTTGTGGTATTGTTTACATAATTAACTTGTTTGGTAATTTTGTAAAATGAAATTATATATTTGTTTACAATAGTGACAAACGTTGTGAAAGTAGCAAAGCTACAATGATAATCTGCCAAACTATACTAGAACAATATGATAAATATGCTAGTATATTGGCGCCCTAAAATAGAGTTATTTTAGAGCTTCATTTATGATTACAAATAATAAAAACAGGCAAAGGAGCATACGGCTGTGTCAAGATGGCATACCGTAGGTCAGATCGACTTCTTACCGTCGCAAAATTTATCCTGAAGGAGAAAGTCGGTGTACATTTTTGGGTGGATGGATCTGATGGCCGAAAAGTTCCATTAGAACTTAGTCTTCTATTGAAATTAAAACATCCTAATATTGTAAGTATTAAGTAACTTAAAAATAATATAATAAACGATCAAAATCGCTCTCACGAATGATAAACTACTTGTTAATAATAGGTATAATTCTCGAATAAGGCCTGCATTCGCTGGCGCCATTCTTTTCCAATACAATAAGTTTTTTTTAAATTATAATATAGAATATTAATACATTATAAAGGAGTAATATACGGGGGGGAAAAAGAAGAGGGGGGGAAAAATTATAAGGGGGGGGGGGGGAAGAAAAAAAATAATTTAAATTGGGGGGGGGGGGGGAAGGGGGAGGAGGGGAGGGGGTTGGGGTTATGGGGGGGGGGGGGGGGGGGGGGAGTAGGGGGGGGGGGAGGGAGAGAGATTGTGGGGTGTTTTAACATGCATTCCAGCCCTTTATTAAGACCTGAGCAGTAGTTTTTGAGTTATCCTTAATAATGCGTATTTAATTAACTTAGAATATATTGATGATGTTCTCATTTTATTTATATTGAAGTTGATTGTACAAAAATTTTGTCTTACCATTTGTTTTACTGGTAAAAGACCCTACAACTAATATCACGGCATGAAGGTGCCTTGACAAGACACCTAGATATAAAAAAGTCCTAGACCAACCTAGTATTCTAGCTTATAAAAAAATGAAACTTTAAACAATTAAACGCAAAATCCAATTTTTTTATATAAAATTCTCAACATAATAATACTTGCATTTCAGGTGAGCGTGGTTGATGTTTTCGAAAACGACAAATATTTCCAAATGGTGATGGAGAAGCATGGTGCTGGAATGGATTTGTTTGAATTTATTGAACGTAGGCCCAGACTAGATGAGCCACTTATTAGTTATATTTTCAGACAGGTAATGCCTATAGTAAATTTTCTGACAGCAGCAGTAGAGTTCTCCGAAAAATATGTAACTTTCTAAAAATTTAAACAGTATTTAAACAGTAGCGGATACAAGATTAGTTGATAAAATCTCAACATTCAAAGATATACTGAGCATTATACCATCTACATTGGATGGTGCTTGTGTGTTTATTTACATACATATCAAAATCTTGATTTTTATATCAACGAAATTAGCTACAATAATCTAATATTAATGTATGCATCGTTCGCACTACGTAAATTATCTAAGCTCCATCGAAATCGGACTATTAGTGTCAGCGGATATAGCAATAAAAATTACATTGGTTTAAAGTGTAAGTGATTTAAAGCCCATAATCCTTGAGATACATGATATAAACATTTATTAATTTCAACCAATACAAATTATATTTCTTTTTATCTTAACCTCTTCCCACAACCATTTTTGTTTTTTTTTCACATGGACAAATATGCATGTTACATCACAGGTTTTATCAAGTTAACGAAAATACAGCACCTTTCTTATTTACCAGTGACTAACAATTTTTATTATCAGACATAGTTAGTTAATATGTTAGGCAATGTTCTGCATAAAATAATGCTCAATTTTATATAAATCCTAATTAGCCTCTGTTAAATTTCAGATAGGACAAGCAGTGGAATACTTGCACTCGCTGAATATCCTGCACCGCGACATCAAAGACGAGAACGTGATCATCGACAACAGGTTTCATGTAAAGCTAATCGACTTCGGCTCTGCTACCTTCATGAGCCCCGATACGCTCTTCTCCACTTTTTACGGTACCACTGAGTACTGCAGCCCGGAAGTACTAGCTGGCAATAAGTATGCACATACATATAAAAAAAAATTAACTAAATTAAAATATAATATAATGATTGCGGAGAAGTTTTTGGCCAAAAACCAGAAAGTTTTTTGTGCGTTCATGGACTTGGAAAAGGCTTATGACAGAGTGGACAGGAATGTGTTATGGCAAACATTGACTTCATATGGGTTGAGCGCTGGTTGGATACAGGCTAATTGTATCAATTAAGGTCTCTTTATAGGGGACTCTAGTGCTTGTGTCAGGATCAATGGGGTCTACTCAGACTGGTTTGGCATCCAAAAAGGTGTCAAACAGGGCTGTGTAGCTTCCCCTTGGCTGTTCAACCTATTTATGGACAGCTGTTTCGCAAACTTTGAAAGATGAAGAATGTGGGTTAAGAATGGGCGAGTTAACCGTCAAATGCCTTTTGTATGCCGATGATCAAGTCATATTTGCGTCATCGGCGGCTGAGTTGCAAATGATGGTTACATTAATGAACTGGGAATTAAAAGAAAGGGGAATGAAAGTGAACGCAAGTAAGACGAAGGTTATGGTTTTTCAAAGAGAAGAAAGCAAAACGGTATGTGAAATAAGAATAGAAGGAGAGTTAATTGAGCAAGTGGATGAGTTTGTGTATTTGGGATGTCTAATTAGCAGGGATGGTAGATATGATAAGGATATAGAACGACGAGTAAATGCAGGGAATAGAGTGAATGGGGCACTACACTCTATTATGAAGAACCAGAATGTGTCAAAAAAGGCACGTATGGTAATTCATAATGCTGTGCTAGTCCCTACTCCCTACTTTAATGTATGGTAGTGTAAGCTGGGTGTGGCAGAAGAAGCACGAAAGTATAATAAATGCAGTAGAAATGCGGTCTTTAAGGAGTGTGCTAGGGTTGAATCTGAATGACAGGGTGAGAAATTGCGTGATAAGAAATAAATGTGGTATTCAAGATGATGTTGTGACCAGGATTAAGAAAGGAATGCATCGGTGATTTGGTCACGTAGAAAGAATGAATGAGGAAAGAGTGACAAAGCAAATTTATATGGCAGATGTGAACGGCAGAGTCGGGAAGGGACGCCCTAGAAAAAAGTTTATCGACCAAATTGGCGATATTTTGAAAATGGGTCACGTTAGAAGTACCCTTAACCGACGAGCATGTATGCGTAGATATATGGATGTAAAGGAGGCGAAAGAGGTATGTCAGGATCGTGCCAAATGGAAGTCCGTAGTCTCTGCCTACCCCTCTGGGTGACAGGCGTGAGTGTTTATGTATGTATGTACAATATATAATATATTACAAATATATACCAACCGTGTGTATGTATGATCGTATACCGCTATTAACGGTCTTTGTGTATTTTTTATAGAATAAGCATGACAAACAAGCGCACAGTACACCTGATGTAAGTGGATGCTGCGCCCCATAGGCATCTACGCTTCGCCTCGATTGAGGTGATACCTCGAAAATTTGGTGGTTTTTCTATTTTACATATTATGTTTTTATTACCAAAATTTTAGTATATGATTTTTGAATATGACCTTGGATTGCACAATAGAAAAACACGATATCATGTAATTTTCTCGATAAAAAAAAATAGCAAAGTAGGCTCTAATTACTTATATTTTTCTATGACACCACAATATTTCTACAAATAAGTTCATGGAATCATTTGTACGGCGTAGTAGATAATCATATCTAAGTTCTCTTAAACCATTTTTTTATCCATAATGAAGTTTTGTTAAAAAACTAAAAATGTTGTTTGGCGCTTAGTTAGTTTTTTCCGAGCGTGAGCTCGATATAACTATTTCATAATTTGCGTACTATGAAGTCATTGCATCACTTTCATTTTGACACTCCCTCAGTCGTCCGTTAGCTTCACCGACAAAGGAATAAACCACGTCCCCAAAACTACGATTCATTTTAAAGGTATCCTCTTAAGATTCAAAATGCAGATGTGTTGTCACCCTTGAGGACTAAGATTGAATGCCTCTTTTCCAGTAAAAATAGTCACCGGTTCTCTACACTCTCCATACGAAACACAACAGCATCAAGCGGCTATTTTAAGCTGGTATCTGTGGTCTTGCCCCGGTCAAACCCAACCATTCGTGCTACATCCATAATATAGCTGTAGCTTGGCTCTACCACATATAAAGTATGAGTTAGAAATACGAATTAAATGTTGTGTATCTCGTTGATATAGAAATATGAAATTATTTAATCAGATTTCATTTGTACAAAATCTACACTTGGTAAAATAAGCCTTTTTGTTTTCCTATGGGACCATGGTTTATATCACGGTTTAACAGTGGATTTGGTGATGATAATACATTTATTGAATTCATGAGTGTATTTTTAGAGTAATATTACTCCATGGTGGACATATTAATAAATAATATCATTAGAAAAGTATTTATTATTCCTCAAAATGAGGAATCTTACAAATAAAGGGGAATGGCAGGCTTCTATGGGAGTTTCGTACCGCTAATAAAATTTCGTGTTTTGGAATATTTTTGGTTTTAATTGGTAGATAGTAGGATAGACAAACCCCTTTTAAGTTCTTAGATTTTTAGAACTTGGGAGATAAAAGTTATAACCAGTTTTAATTTTTAAGATTATCTATATAGACCATAGACTAATATACACTGTGTTAATTTTACATTTGATCAAACGAAATGTGAATGAAAAAATCGAAAAAAAATTTTTTGTGTAAACTATTAAAAAAATAAAACACATTTTAATTTTTCCCATCCTTCGGTTTTAAATTATTTTCTCTTTAAGTAAACGGTGTATTTTTTTTCAAAGTAGTTTTATTTGAAAGTTAGAAAGATTAACTAGCAACAAAAATTAAAAAACCTACAATATTAAGCAGAAAATTTGTCAAAAAATAATAAGATATTTTTTTTTTGTTACAGAATACTTTTCTTTTTAATTTTTGGTCTGCAACTTTAAAACTAGCACATTGAGGTAACTTTTTCAGCATGTTTTATTAAACTGCATGATTTACTCTACAAGTTCTCCAAAATAACATGGGTTCTATCTCTTGTCGGTTGTTAAGATAATCACTAAAAATAAGGTAGGTAATCTGAGCACAAAATTCAAAAGTGATTTAATAATGATTTAATTGACAAAATTATGGAATAAAACAAAAAAACCGTAGAAAAATGATTTAATTTATTAAATTTTCAAAATCACCACCACTTTCGTCCATACATACAGTTGCACGTAATGCCACACTACGTACTGTTTTTTTTTAATACAGTACGATTTTCATTTATTTGACTAGCCGCAGCCATTATTTTTTGTAACAATTCTTCTCTTGTACTAATTGGAGTACTGTACACAATCTGTTTCATGTGGCCCCACAAAAAAATCTAGGGGGGTCATATCAGGACTTCGTGCCGGCCACACTACAGGTCCGCCTGATCCAATCCATCTGTTTCCGTATCGTTCGTTTAAATAATCACGCACGATGGTGCTGAAGTGAGCTGCTGAAACTACATCCTCCTCCTTGTTTGTCATGTCAGGTAACTCTTCTTGTAGAAATTTTAGGTAAGCTGGGCCTGTCAACCTTGACGGAAGAACAAATGGTCCGATTAAGTAATCACTTATCATTCCAGCCCAAACATTAATCGAAAATTCGATTTGAAAGGACGCTGGCCGAACTGCTAAGGGATTTTTTCCTCCGGCATCCACAAGTGAAGGTTTCGAAAATTTGTGATTCCAGTTCTGTTAAAATTTGCCTCATCGGTCCACAAAATACGGTCACAGAAGTACGGGACTAATCGTCTTTGCCGCAATAGCCACGAACAGAAAACACTTCTTCCGACGTAATCTGGCTCGTGCAAATTCTGCACTCTTCGAAAATGAAAGCGTGATTAATCCCCAATTGGAGTGCTATTCGTCGAGTACTAATTGTGGGGTCTTGGTACACCAAACGCAACACTTGTTCATCCACATCCACCGGTACAGTAGGAGCACGTTCACGATGTGGGCGATGCAGTCCATTTTCACTTAATTCTCGATGTACTGCTAAGAAAAGCCTGTAGTCAATGGCAGGTCTTGTCGGGAACCGCTGATGATACTCTCGAGAGGCGACGCGAGCGTTGCCATCACAAAACCCGTAAGTGTAATGAATGTCAGCTACTTCACGAGCAGATAATGAGTATCGGAGAAGGCCGAAAAATACACCGTATACTTGAAGAGAAAATAATTTAAAATCGAAGGATGGGAGTTTTACCAAAAAAAATTAAAATGCTTTTATTTTTTAAATAGTTTACATAAAAAAAATTTTCGTATTTTTACCGATAACTTTTTATCTAGTATCCGCACATTTCGTTTGATCAAGTGTAAAATTAACACATTGTATAATATATGAACTTGTGTTACAATTTTTTTATTTAACTGGCTTTACGGCTTTGGGTTCTTGGCCTTCTCAGCCTATCATTTCTTTCGTAATCTTCGTTTTTGTATATTTTTTTCATCACAATATGCTGATGCGTCACAGTTTTTGGGAGATTATATCAACATCAAACCACTTGTTTCGTCGTTTTCTCTAATAGTTCACACGCGCAGACAATTCACGAAATCGCATCACTTTTACGAATCGAAATCTACTTCAAACCATTATTCAAGCATCAAAACAGGAGCGACAAATTGTCCAACAATCCGTCAACGGCCAAAACCTCTCCTAGTGTATCTATGTTACATATAGGCAAATAAACATTGTTTTTGTGATAAAGTAAATATTCTATATTGCTTTTCGCTACTCTGTAGTGCTTTACTAACCGTTATTTTTTTATAGAACAAGGGTGACAATCGAACAGACAGTCCACCTGATGGTTAGTGGATGCTGTGGCCCATGGACATCTACATTTATCTCGATTTAGAATCAAAATTCAGATGCGTTGTCACCTCTGAAGACTGGGATTGAATGCCTCGATTCCAGTAAAAAAGGGTCTCCAGATCTCTACACTCACCATACGAAACACAGCAGTATTAAACTGCTGTTTTACACTGGTATTCTGTGAGAGCGTGGTTCTTCCCCGGTCGAGCAGTCATTCGTGCTACATCTATATTATAGCTACAGCGTGGTTCTACTATTAAGTAAAGATTGAGATGAGGATCGGTATCTATTCAGCGTTGTGAATTAGGAGATACCTATATTCAGCAGCGGACTGCAACATTTGATAATGATAAAGTTCTGGTGGGGTTTTGAGTGTAGGTAAATAAAAAATATTTTGTTTTTAGTTCATTTATGTTGTACTTATAATTAATGAATTCTTAATAAAACTTCATCTAAGAAGGAGGCAGGCCGGGTAATACCCTCATGGCGAGCATGGCTTAGGTACCAAATAATACTCATAAGTAGCATCCCACTGCTCTTAAACCTGCGATGCAGTTACAGCAATAACTTCTGATACCGTGCCGCCCTATCATGTCACTATAAATACAAAGTTTTATTGAAAAAATAGCCGGACTTAATTTTAGCATGAAGCAAGATTGGGTTTATTCTCTCTAAACCATCTATTCTCTCTCGGGATACTTCTAGTGTATATATCGCATGAAAGCGAAAATTCTTATATTGGGCAATACAATAAGCTGGGATCTTTCTTGTGATCCTTCTGGTACATGTAAGCTCAAATCTCGAGCTTTGTCCTAGCAAACTTCATTCATGGATGACATCTGTAAATAATTTATTTCATGAGATGGCCATAGATATAAAATTAGTATTGATGAAATACAAATTAAATACTAAGATCAATAGACATAAGTTATGCCCAACATTTTCAAGCATGAAAGAAACACAAACAAGATAATGGGTGGATACAGCGAGATTCCTGATTGAATTTGAGCAACCCAAGCTGGAGAATGGTTCTTGAGACACAATAATTGGTTGCCTTCACCTTACAGAAAACCTTTTCCAAATAGCTATATGGTATAATATCTGTTGTGTGAATAAGTTGTAGAGGAAAAGGGCTCCTTGTTGTTAGTAGAACCCACCTCATGAGTGTCCCAGGTTTAGCAACATTTAAGAGTAAGAGGGGAAACTGCACAGAAATCCAAAATTATTTATATATATTATCTCTCAAAACAATGTATAAAAGTTCTAGCAAATATTTCATACAATACAAGATTATTTTATTTTATTTTAATAAGGATTACAACAGCATATATCACTAAATACAATTTCAAATTTACCTCAAGTATGCCAATAACAGTTATCCACATATTAAATAAAAAATTAAGCTTACTACATGTACAATTATAATGAATGAAAACTATGGAAATTAAGCAATTTAAAACAACTTAATAAAATAACAGTAATAAAATTAAGCAGTTTTAGGTTTACTAACACCAAGATATTAAGGTCTTACTGAAAAATTGATATGTGATTTACTCCTCGAGTTAATTTTATAATTCATTTATTTATATCATGGCAAAATATATTCTATATATCATTACATATATACATACAAGTATACGTACACACCAATGTACATAAATATTTTAAAATATATAAATAGCTCACTTATTATTTAAACATAGCTACCTAAAGTAAGTGTTCTTCATAATGTACCTTACCGGCATTCTACGTATACAAACAAAGAATATTAAATACAATTAATAATAACATTATTAATACAATTATTAAAAACAAAAAATATTAACAGTTACATCTTTATACATATTAGAATCATCTAAATTAGCATTGTCTAGTTTGAGATACTATGGGTGCATACTAGAGATAATTTAAAACTAATTTTCTAAAATTAAAATTTAAATACATACAAACACAAAACACAAAACAAACGTCTATGTTCATCACACAAATGTTTGTCCTTGGTGAGAATAAAACTCGCAACCTTCAGCACAGAAGCCATATTTAAATAGTTTAAGGTAATCATGGTCATTAGATATTCCATGCAAGAAAGCCACTCCAAACACACCGCTTATACTAAATATTCATTTATCATTATATTATAGCCTTTTTTGTGAACTGCAGTGTACTCAGGCAAAAAAAAAACCTCTAAAAAGTAAGTGGTAATATTCACTATATCCAAGTTAGGTGATACACTTTTCGATGTTATACTGCTATACAAACTGTCTGAAGGCCTCTCAACAATATACGCCAAATTATTTTGTAGTATTTCATCTTCTATGTTTCTATTAAAATTATTATCATAGTATTTCTATCATAGTTCTTAAGTCTGTAAAAAGAAAACATTGCTGTAAACTCTAAATAAGCATAATTTTAATAAAAATGTATTTGTAAATAGTAAACAAACTAACCTCTGAATTAACTGTTCGTTCAACCCACTTAATTTTGCACCTCTTTTTCTTAGCTCTGCTTTTAAGGCACTGACATTCATTGACCCGTAACTTATATTGGCCATAATTAATCTCAGGAATTGCAATATATTCACAATATTACGAGGGGTGATCCAAAAGTAATGGTAATGAAAATAAAACACAGTAATTAAAGTTAAAATAATAATTTATTTTTCTACATAGTCTCCTAACAAATCAATACATTTAGTTCATCTTTTTTCTAAACCCAGGATTCCCTTTGAAAAAAATTCCTCCCTCCCAAAACGCTTTAACACCGGCCATTACTTCGATATCGTCTTCGAATTTCTTGCCTCGGAGGCGTTTCTTGCGACGAGGAAAGAGGTAGAAGTCACTAGGAGCTAAATCTGGCGAATAGGGAGGGGTGTTCGAGCAGTTCGAATCCCGTTTCTTGAATGGCAGCCATCGCAACTGTGGCTGAGCCGGTGCGTTGTCTTGGTGAAACAGCACTCCAGCTCGCAGTTTGCCGCGTCTTTTTTCCTTAATGGCCTCCCGTAATCTTCTTATTTGGTCTGCGTAGTAAGAGCCCGTAATAGTGGCTCCCTTTTCCAAATATTCCACCATAATTATGCCTTGAGCGTCCCAAAAAACAGATGCCATAACCTTTCCCGCCTAACTTGAAACTTTGAATTTCTTTGGCGTCGGTGAGGAGGCTCGCTTCCAAGTCATCGATTGTTGTTTCGTTTCAGGATCAAAATGGTGGATCCAGGTCTCGTCCATAGTCACAAAACTGAACAAAAAATTTTCTTGATCTGCTTGGAACTTTTCGAGATTGACCCTCGAAATGTCAACTCGATTTTTCTTTTGCTCGTCGGTTAACATTCTGGGTACCCAACGCGCAGAGATCTTTTTCATATGCAACTCGTTCGCAAGGATTCTTTGAACGCTGCCATATGAGATCCCTGTGACCTCAGCTACATGCCTGATGGTCACTCTTCGATCTGCCAACACAACATCTTCGACTTTTTTCACGTTGTATTCAGTGAGGGACATGGATGGGCGTCCTTCGCGATATTCATCTTCTGTGGATGTTCTGCCCAGTTTAAACTCCGTGGCCCAGCGTGCAACTGTAGAATATGGAAGAGCAGAGTCCCCCAATGTTTGCACTAAGTCACTGTGTATCTCTTTTGAAGACATTTTATTCAACAGAGGTACTTGTTGACAGCTCTAATTTCGTTTTTTTCCATGTTGATGTTATCTCTTTGACAGTTCGTATTCAAATGAATGTATCTCCCGGAAATCGTGATCTATTTATATGACTTTCAGACTGACGTAGTGAATCTATAAGCAAGCAAAAAAAAATTTTTTTTTTTGGATTTTTATGCGGACCTGAAGTAACCGATTATCATTACTTTTGGATCACCCCTCGTATTCTAAAAGAAATAAACACGCGTAGCCCACCTACTGCTAACAGTGACATTTGACATATCGGAGACCTCACTCTACACTAGCGGTAGCGCCTGTAGCGGCGAATTCATACGCGATAATCCCTCATTGCTTTTAGTTTATGCTTATATTACATTTATTTATTAAAATATTTTTATTGATATTATTAACTAATCCAAAGTAAAAATATAAAACTTACATAAAAATGAATGGCTTAGTTGCCTTAATATCTGGTATTATTTCTATAACAAAACAACGAAAAAAGTATAAGGTACTAAATCTGCCGTTCCCCTTTATTGAGTTGAGAGTTTAAATTCGTGTGTTTAATTATGTTTATTTTACAAACGTATACATAAATAGGAAATTGATGACATCCAGACCCATTTTTAGGTCATACAAATACTTGTATTTATTCCGTGGGAGAATCCAACCCGCACATTGCAGTGTTCAGGAAGGAGAAGGGCTACGCACCGAGCTTAGAGCTACTCCGCCCCCCGCCTCCGCCCCTCCATAACGCAAGTAGTAATAAGCCTACACACTTGTAATTTTTTATATTCCCCCCCTCTTAGCTGTTTCTGCCGCTACTCACGCTGCACTACTGTGTCTGATGTGCTGTGTCCGGTTTGAAACGTATGAAGAGCCTAGGATAATTACCGGCTATGAGATATTCCACGCAGAATAATTTACCTCAAATTTATATTAAATTTTAAAACACGTATAGTCAAAACGCAAAGAATGTAATCTATGCTTTCAGATATGCCGGACCCGAGCTAGAGATGTGGTCGATGGGGATAACACTTTATGTGCTGACATTTTTTGTTAACCCATTTTCTGACATTGAAGAGACTATACAAGGACTCCTCGCATTGCCGCAGATTGTCTCTGAAGGTGTCTAATGTTTATTTTATCAAACCAAATATTCCACAATGATTTTAGTCACTTAAAAAAAAGTTTTAGAATATTTTGATTTAAAATTTACGTTTTTGTTTCCGTTAGATTTGAGTATAATATAACATTTCATGATACTTTTCTCTTTAAATTTTACAGATTTAGAGCAACTTCTTCGTTGGATGTTGTGCAAAGAACCAGCAAACAGATGTACGGTAGGTCAACTTATGTCACATCCATGGATTAAACAACCTGTGGCCATCACCAACTACATATTTCACGAAATTGTTGACTGTGGTGAGTATTTAAAAAAACGTAATTATATTAGAACTTAATTTTAAAACTAGCTGTGCCCGCGACTTCGTTGGCGTTGAATCAGTACTTTTGCTATTCTAAGTGATGATGATTTATTTGTAAATTAAACTGTCGCGAAGACTTAGAAAGACACTAATCTGAATAAAAACATTCAATTAGTCGGTCAATCAGACAAACAAACGAACGAACTAATAAACGAACCCACAAACGAACCAAGAAACGGATAGGGCAAACTGTACGCTTGTGTTTTATTTTTTATAAGTAAATAAACAACAAAATGACCGCAATAACGTAATCCCTAATTTTCTCCCGAATTTATCTAGCAAATACTTGGTTTCCATACAACAAATAAGATATTGCCCTAAATAAGCAAGCACCATAACTAAATATTATTGATATTAAATGAAAAATTTGAAATGAAAACTACAATCCAAGGCCTACCTAAAACTAAGTACCTACTCTAACAAAATAAAAGAAATTGCTTATGTATCTATATTTTGTCCCATCCTGCAAATAAATGAAAAATAAAAATAAAATCAACCTAGGAATGTTTTGACCTTTAAGTAATAGGTGCCATCGGTCTTAAAATCAGTTGGGTTTCTATCAAGTAATTCTCAGTAGCAGTCAAGAGTTAAGCAATCTTTTATCTCTATGCCTCAGAAAGCACATCGAGCCGTTTTATCTGTACTGATCTCACTATATTTTTGTCGGCTTACTAACTAGGACACAATGATAAACTCCATTTTTTATATTTTGTATATAATAATCAATAGGGGCAGATTTTTGTAAAGTTCTATAATATTTCTTATTCATCATTATCATAATTTCGTTTTACGGATTTCCCCACCACCATGCAATTAAAAACCATTAGTAAAACGAAAAAAAAAATCAAATTGCATTATTTTAATCCTAAAGTATTCGTACTAATTATAAAGTTACAATAATCATTCAATACTTTTTCCCTATACAAATATGAAATCAGCCTGTAAAAAAAACGTTCTTAAAACTTTATTTTACTATCTAAGGCTTTAAATTTTTCAAAAATTCTAATAATTAAAAAATTGAATATTTTTTATTATTAGATTAGTTGTATTCTAAAATATAATTTGTATCTCTAATATTATAATTTGATGTCTCTGTTCCTTTCGTGCATCGCGTTAACGATTTTCTTTCCTCGGTTAGTATGGAGCCAGACATTGTTGGTGAAATCATACTTACCTGGCGTAGGGGATACCGTGATCAGGTAGGCGGTTCCCCCAGAGCGAGGCCGCTCCATTGCACTGCGGTGTGGCTGACCTCTGCGATTACCGCTAATGTGGGTAACTCGGACGCGTAATTATTGGTAGTGAGGACTGCGTACGCGCTGTCCTCTTCGTAAATGAAATTTGATTTGAGAATAGATTACTACTATGTAATACCAATTGGCTATTAATCGTATGATGTGCGCCTTCACCACCAAACATTTTTACATTACATAACATAGTATCATCCTATAACATCAACCAAGACAATCGAGCTTTATACTAATTCGCATGACCTCATAGGTTGCACTTGGTTTGTGAATCGTCTCTTACATAAACATATTATTTCAAATAGATACTATGTATTTAGATTTTCTTCTTTCAATCGCTAACCGTTCTTCTTCTCGAGTAACACAGAAATGCTGAGTTAAAATTGTGTATAAGCAATTTTACTGGCCCTGTGCTTAACTTCTGAAAAAAACTAAACGTTGCGTTTTTATGCACGTATGTTAACTGGTGACTATAACTGGGAAAAAATATTCAAATTTAAATATTCAAATAATATTTAGAATTTCGTATTTTTTCCTTAAGCAAGCGAAGAAATTATCTGTAGTGTCGAGGACTGTTTATTTAAAAACAATATGCGGAAAGAAGATTTGGAGGCGATACGTCAAGACATTTCGTCTATGTTACGTCGATGTTCAGTGCCTAAACCGAATCTTCCCAAAGACGAATTTATAGCGTTAAAGAACCTACGCAATAAACCAGAACTTACGACTCTCCGCGCAGATAAGGGAAACGCCACGGTAGTCATGGATACGTCAGATTATAATTCTAAAATACAAGAACTTTTGTCGGATGTACGTAGGCGGTCCCATTATGAATTGGCCTAACTATGAACCAATGAAGGAAATGAAACGAAACCAATTTTATTTTTCAATATAATCACCATGAATACTAACACACTTCTTACATCTGTGAATCAACATCTCTAAACCTTTATAAAAATAATCACATTTTTTATCCTCAAAATGACTGAAGACGGCCGCCTGCAACTCTTCATCGCTTGAAAATTTTCTTCCTCTTAAGTCCCGCTTTAAATTTGGAAATAAATAATAGTTGGACGGGGCCATGTCTGGACTGTAAGGTGGATGTTGAACTTCTGTGAACCCGCATTGACGAACTGCATCCTTCGAAACACCAGCGGTATGAACAGGGGCGTTGTCATGGAGCAACAGGACACCTTTAGACAGCTTGCCTCTTCGTTTTTCCTTTATCTTGTCTCGTAATTTATATATTAAAGAAGCAAAATATTCGCCGTTCACGACTGTATTACGTTCTTTAAAATCCACCATCAAAATGCCTTGAAAATCCCAAAATATTGTGCACATCAGTTTTTTAGTCGGTTGTTGCACCTTTGCCTTTCTAAGGGGCTTTTCACCCTTATAACGCCATTCCATTGACTCGCGCTTGCTTTGTGGATCATGATACAAGATATAGTTTCATCACCAGTCACTAGCCGCTCGATCACAGTCTTTCGATTTTCGCCACAAAGATCCAAAAACTCCGAAGCGCAGCGCACTCTTTCCTGTCTCTGTACCGCTGAAAGAAGTTTCGGTACCCATCTTTCTCTCACTTTTTTCATGTGAAGATGTTCATGGATCGCGCGATGAATGGTACTCTTAGAGAGCCCAAGCCTTGCTGCAATTTCTCTAATCTTCCAACGACGGTCACTCAGAACCTCCTCTTCGATAAGATCAATCGTTTCGGGAGTGAGCACTTCCACAGGTCGACCGTCGTGGCCAAAGTCTTCGACGGTTTCTCTCCCGAGGCGAAACTCTTTCACCCAATTTTTCACTGTGCTATAGGAGGGAGCAGACTCCTTATACACGCCATCCAATCGTTCTTTTATTTGGGCAGGGGATAAACCTTCTTTAAACAGAAACTTTATGACACTTCGATACTCAGTTTTCGACATTTTGAAAAAATACGCGACTCTCGTTATTCAAATGCCTGTTAAACTAAGACTAAGCATTTTATGTCGATGCATGTTTCTTATATTAAGTGCACGATAAACGTACTATTTAATGCAACACAACATGTAGCGACATGTCGCGTTGAACTATATCAGGCCAGTTCATTATGGGACCGCCTGGTAAGTACTTATAAAAAGGTTAAAAACGACCCAACAAATAGCAAACTAAAAACAACTAGTGACCTCATAAAGAAACACTCCGAAAAATTAAATCTGGACGTAAAATGGATAATACCTACGTGCGCCAAATCACCAAAATTGTATGGGTTACCAAAAATACATTAGCTCCATTACGTCCCATAGTGAGCCAAATCGATTCACCAACTTACAGATTGGCTCAACACTTAGCGAAAATACTCTCACCGCTCAGGGGACATACAAGAGCACACATAAAGGATTCCTACCATTTTGTCAGCGAGATTAAAGACCTACATCTGGCAGACAATGAAACTATGGTCAGTTTTGATGTGCAGTCATTGTTTACATGCTTACCTTGGGCATGACTGCATCTCAATTGTAACTAGAAGGCTGGAAGAAAACAACATGCCCGTAGAATATGCAGTATTACTCAGACACTGCCTTACATCTGGCTACCTATTGTGGAAGGAGGAGTTCTACAAGCAAGTAGATGGTGTGGCGATGGACTCACCTGTATCTCCCATTGTCGCCGACATATTCATGGAAGACTTTGAGGAGAAAGCCCTGCTTAGTTCTCCCATAAATCCAAGATTCTACAAGCGGTACGTAGACGACACTTTCACAATTCTACCTTTAGACAAAGTAACTGCCTTTTTAGACCATCTTAACTCTATAAATTCTAAAATTCAGTTCACAATGGAGTTAGAGGCAAACAATTCCTTAGCTTTTCTAGATGTGTTAGTAATTCGGAATCCTGATAACACCTTGAGCCATACTGTGTATAGAAAAAAGACCCATACAGATAGATATTTAAACGGTGATTCTCACCACCATCCTTCACAGTTAGCTACCGTGGGTAAATCTTTATTTCAGAGAGCACGAGGGATCTGTGACAGTAAACACCTGGCTGCCGAGCTCCAACACGCCAAGCAAGTTTTGCATGACAACAAGCTTCGGGTCCCGCGCCTACGTCACAGTGAACGAGTGAAGCCGGCCACAGTCGAGCGTGTACCTGCTGTGCTGCCATATGTTAGAGGAGTCACTGACAAGATTGGCTACATCTTGAAGCGCGCTTCCATCAAAACATACTTCAAGCCGCTGAAGAAGATTGGTCAGTTTTTACCATCAGTCAAGTGTAATGTCCCTCTGCAAGATGCAGGAGTGTACAAGCTTGATTGTGAATGTGGTCTCTCCTACATAGGACAAACTAAAAGATCAATAAAAACCCGCGTTAAAGAACATATAGCTAATGTGAAGAATCGACGCTCCGGGAAGTCTGCAGTCTGTGAACACGTACAGGATCGCCCTCGTCACTACATCAGATTTGATAGACCGCAAATCCTCGCTAAAGAACACCGATTCCTTCCAAGGATGATTCGCGAGGCTATTGAAATCAAAAAACATCCTAATTTCAATAGAGAAGATGGCTGGGTGCTACCATCTGCTTGGGATCCTATAATAAATAAAATTAAAACCCAACCCAAGCATACAACTGCAAGACTTCATGATACCATAAGTTTATACTGTGTAGATCGGAACAAAAGTTAAATTTTAATCTATGGTAACCG